CTGGAAGCATTCAAGGTCAGGTTGGATGGGGCTCTGAGCAACCTGATCTAGTTGAAGATGTCCCTGCCCACGGCAGGGGGGTTGGACTAGATGACCTTTTGAAGTCCCTTCCAACCCAAACTATTCTATGATTCTATGTTGCATACTGAGCTGATCTTGTACAAGAAATATTAAGTCTTCATAGCAAGGGATCTTAGACCCACAAAACTTGAAAAAGATTTATCGTTAAGTGACCTAAAATTGTATTTATCTCTCAACCTAGGACTACACCCAATATAATACAAAAACATCCCCCAAAATTAAATACAGTGAGAATTACTAAATAACAGCTATTTGCCAATTATTCAGTAAAAACTATGGAAAATAAATGTTAATGTTACATACTTAGCCTGTACTTCAAATGCTACAAGTCAAAAAGTTGTAACTATAGTTATAATTTGCTGTGCAAGATATATTGAGCCACATCTTTAACATAATAAAATGCTGAGTCTAATTCACAGGTTCCGGGCCTATGGCTATAAAGTCTTCAAAACACTTAGAAATGCAAAGGACAAATCAGATTTCCAACAGAAAAGTAACTGAAATTTCTGAGCTATGTTTATGAAATGATTTCATTAATGTATTTTGCCATCAGCCATAGAGAAAATTTTCCATTCATAAGGAACATATTCCTTATGTTAAATTGCTCTCCAGTCAAACCTCAATCATTTATGCAGACCCTAAAATAATATTTTAAGCAATGAAAAGCAACTACTGCTGCTTAGCATACGGGTAACAGAATTTGTGCCATTCATGTTGACTTGGTTTGTCGTTTTAAGACCTGAATCCACAGTGTCTTTACAAAAATTCTCCTTTGATGCCAATGGATTTACTTATGTTTGTTTACCATGTGATTTCAAAACTTGTCCCTTTTTGAAGGTAAATCCATTTTTTTAAAAATGAATAATAATTAAATAAAAAATTCAAAATCGTAGTACAACCAAAGGTTTTCATTCTGTGGTACATTTTAAAAAAGTGATATACAACCCACTCAAGGATCAGTCTCTTAATTAGGGTAAAAACAGTGGACTAAAACAGGTGATTATGAGGCACAAATAAGAGCTATTCTTCCAAATGTCACCTTGACACCTAGTCTAAGAAACTAGGCTTTACGAAAATAAAATGCACACAAAAAGCAACTTTATATGTTGTACAGTATAATTCTCTACTTCTACTAATCTGCTGAAGGGATTAGTGAGGTAAGGAAAAAATTTGTCGTTTTTATTGTCATAGATATACTTGTTTAAGGTATCATTAAGCTCAAGATCAGCTAAATGTTACAAGACTAATTTTCACTTTACAACAGAAACTGCTTTTAGAGTACCTGTGATATAGGCAACCCCAAATAAAAGCAGAACTCCTAGTGGAAAACCAGCTTCCTTCATTGAATATGGCAATCCTATAAATAAGAAAAGGAAAGATTATAGAAGAACCTTTCTGAATACTATTTGTGACAAACAAAGAAATATTCAGATTTAAAAAAATGCTATTAATCTCCCAAATTAGACCAGCATGCTTAATAACCTCAGAAAGGTCATTTTTAGTGGACAAAGCGTTGCCTAGGTGTGGGCAAGTGCTGACTGAACTTCAATCAGTTCTCTCTGATCATTATGGCAAAGAGGCTGTAGGGTAGTATTTATCACTGTAAGACGTGATCTCAGCTGACACCTCTGCATTTTTGCATAGTAAGCAAATAAAAATAGAGAAAAGTCTTTAGGAACAGCAGCAGAAAGTCAGAAGACAGTGTTATTCTCCAAACTGGATAGTCATGCATGTATAAACAAGGCTGAACACAGGATAATGAAGAAAAGTATACTTACCTATAATGCCTGATCCTATGATAGAGTTGATAATGTTAAATCCAGCTGATGCCAGATCACTGTTTCCTCCTTTATTCCTGGGCTTACTAACGAGGGCTGTTTGGTCATCTGTTTCTACCTATTTCAGGAAGACAATAACAACATTATACATGAGAAAAATAGGTGACAACAAGGATTTTACACATAGTCTATTCAAGATCAAAAAAACTTGTCACAGACTCAGATTTGTAAAGGTATTTTGATAATTAAATCCCATTTTTTTCAGTGAGAAATCAAAGGGGCATTAGGCATCTAATTCCTCTATAAGTCTGACCCATAATCTCCTGTAATTAATTCTTCTCTGAAAAAAAAAGTGGAAGGACAGAAATGTATATAAACTCAGAGGTAGGCTGTGAAACAAAGAGCTTTTTAGTCATGTTCCAAAGGCAGAAATGTGAATCAAGTATTGCTGAAAACATTTGGGCTAATACGACTGGTCAGTAAAAATAGGCCCCTGAATCAGGGGAATGAAATAAATTTGAAGAGTTACTAGTAAAGTATGCCAACATCTGAAGATGCTCTAATTCAAGGTTTTATCCAGCACTTTAAATATTCCTGCATTATCCAATAGTTTAGTTCATTATGAATAGTTAAAAACACTATAAAATTGGCTAGTCCCAGAAAGTTTCTGTGGGAAGGTCTGGTACAAACCAAAGTTCAAATCACAATTTGTAGCCAGTAGCTTCAAAAATTCAAGTTCTTATCTTCAAAAAGCACTTCTTCATAAGCATGCAGTGGCCCTCGCTTCAGATCACCTCTCTGCTGTCAGAGAACATTTTAGAATCGTTCATTAGAAGGCCAGTATTTTAAATGAAATCGTGAAATTCAAAAGAGGAACATGCATTTAATGAAGAAAATGCCCACCTGCGTTTGACAAAAGCAAAATATTGTGTACTTACCATGAAAATAAAACCACTATTTCATGGATGCAGGACCCTATTTAACATATATAGCAGGTAGTACAAACTCAGATGCTTGTCACTAATACTCCTGGAAAAAAATTAAATGACTGATAAATCTAAGTCATCTGTAGATAGTGGTATAAGCTGACAAGCATAAGAGTACCTCAAGGAGGGCTACATATTTAATTGGAACCTTTAATCCTTAAGCAGTACTAACATAGGAAGAGTAACACTGGCTCAGAACAAAGGCCAGTATAACCTGGTATCCCATTTCTGCGTGTAGCCAAGGAAGGTGCCTAGGGAAGAGTATAAGAACATGAAAAATAGATAGTTAGCAAATAACTTTCCTGTCCCAGCTTTCATCGGTTTGCATATCCCAGACTTCCCAAAGCAGATATGCTCTTGGTGCATCACATCCCTTAATGGATTGCTCCTTGAATTTGCCCCTTTTCTGAAGCCATGTATATTTTTTAGCATCTGCAATGTCACGTAGCAATGAATGCCACATCTTAATTATACATCATATGAAGAGACAGGCACTCTTCTTTGTTCTGAATCTAGCATTAAATATTTCCACTTGGTGTCCTAAAAATTTTTGTATCATCACAGACAAACCAACCACTGTTTCCTACTTGTCTTCTCCATATCACATGCAGTTTTATAGGTAACATTCTCCCTCAGCTGTTTCTCATCTAGACTTACAGGTGCTACATTTTATTTCACCACTGGTTTGAGCAGCAGAAGCATCACTGTCATTCTCTCCTGAAATTTTAATGTTCTCTGCTACTTACAGCACAGTACGCATGAAATTGCACTGAACTAGAACAGTCCAGTTCCCTCTTTTCAGTTGTTACAAGAAAATGAACACAATGTGCATCGTACAGCTCAAAGACTCTGTTGTGAACGCTGTTCCCTTCCCCACTTGGAACAGACACATTTGAGTCGGGAAAAAGGACAAGGAAGGCAGTGGAAATTGTGACACCAGTGAAATGGCTCCTGTGTGAAGAAGACTCGTGCTCTTGAAGGTGCACTGGCACTGCAGACAGGGGAGGGAATGCCTGTTGTGGAAGGCTGCAGAAGAGGTGAATGGGATGGGATGCATTTGCCTCTCGTAAGGTCCTCTCCCAGGGACCAGCTGCAGGCCATGAGACAGCCAGGGCTACCCGCTATCGTACTGTAGCAGCGGGCCCACCAGGAGGTAGGGTGCTCAAGTTCTGGTCCTCAAGCAAGACTTAATTTTAGCTGTGCTAAGCAGCCACAGTTCCCCTACCTCACAAGAATAAGGCCCCTCAGATTGCATTTTTTCCCCTGCATGGTACCTGTGAGTCTTTCTTCCTCATACAAATTAGGGAGAAACTGAACGGAGATTAAAAAGCCGTAGCTGCTGTCAGCTTGTCAGCACAGCCGGGGAGCCGGACTGAAGCACCGACCCGCCCGGGATGCTTCACGCAGCTGGTCGCTATAAAGCCGGCCAAAACCGGCCGTAGTGCTCTCTCAAACGCTCACACCCCCCCAAACCCTCCCAACGCCCCGCGGCGACAGGCCGAGGAAAGTAAAGAGAAGTCAGGTTGA